TATAGGTGCATATTTTTTAGAAAAGAGTGCATCTTGATTGCGTATTATCAGTAGAGATAAGAGCATAAGTGCTGATCAATATACTTACTTTGTTATTGAGCTTTTTGAATCCTCCGGCAGCCCCACGAAAATAAGCGTCGATGACATTGGTAAACGTACGTTCACGACACGTTACACGGATAATTTGACTGAAAATTTTGCTGACACGATTTCAAATAGAAAAAAAGCTTCACGCGGCGGACATAACAAAACTTTTGATGTATGTCAATATGTCAATCGATAACTATTATATTATTTCTTTGTTTGCAAAATGCGTGCCAGTACTTCAAGTTTATATGGCGTACTGCCGTTTTCGTTTTCAATTTTATGACGATGAAGGCGTGGGTGAATTACGGTAGGTGTGCGACCTCCGCATGCTTGCAATTAGAATAAATAATATCAAATTATCATTTCCTTCTCACAAGTCTGGTTTGTCGCTGAACTGTGACTCACCCTGTAATATCTTATAGTATCTATCGATATTGATCAATTCTCGTCTTAACGTCTCGTCTTAACCTGTGTTCATAAAACTTCTAAACTATTCATCTTAGAATTAAAAAGAGGTACTTGAGAATCTCACAAACAGCACTTTTATTAGATATATATGTAATACATACCTACATTTTACTATATAGATCCAAGAAGCTTGAGTCGTTTTCATGGAACTAAAATATGACCTACCAAAGATGTGGAATGGTAACTACCATTGAAAAAAAGTCAAATATTTAATATAGCTCAGAGCTTTTTTCCTATATGAAAGTATAGCAAAATGTCCTGATGGACATTTTGGTATACTTAACTCATTTTCGAACAATTTATGGGTTGGATCCTTTTGAGTAACTACGTCCAACTGTATATTGAGGAAGTATTTAAAAAAATGAAGCGAAACTACAAAAAATTATGTCACTAGATGGCAGCACAAATCTTAATGTAAATTCACAACGTTAGACCAAAGAGAACAGAATGAGGAAGTATTATTAAAATAAAAATTAGTTCTTAAAATCAAACTAGATATCACTAGCGATTTTCGGATAACTGACTATGATATTCATTAAAATTTTCTTTCTGACTTAATAAAAGTAAATTAAGTATCAAAAATTAATAACTATTCGTGTTTCTTGAAATATCTAACGTTAAAATTAATTCTAATTTATTTGAATCGTAAGTTATTTTTAGTATATTACGTGTAAAGGAACTATGCTTGGTTTATATGTCAACATAGTGATGAGCCAACTTGTTGGTTGCTCGTAACTTCAATTGGCTCGATTCATCCGAATTCATATTTGGAATGAAGACCAAAAAGTTTGTGTTTTATATGCAGTATTTCCATATGTGCCATTATAGATCCAGACGTCGAATAATATTAATATAAATAACGACATCAATTCGGTCTAGGCTGTTACATATTACTTGTGAAAGTCGGAAACTATACTAACAATTCGCAATACCACAGCGGGAGACCTTGATCTGAGAAGAACCGGCAAGAAACTAAACAAGAGCTGTTTTTTTCTCCCAGTTTTATTTCAAACAGAGAAGTCTTGTTGGATTGTAACTTAATGAGAGTATGAAGTCACTTTCAATTTCAATAGCAGAAATAACAAGATGGGTATTTTTCAATTACTGATTGATACCCGATGGTAAAACGGGTATAGAGAAAGACCAGGGAGCTTTTAGATCACATGAGTTTATTTACCACCAAAATTATATATATGTACTTTATAAAATATAAACAGCACCGACAACAGCTTTACGAAGAGAGACATTAATATATATAGACAATAGACGCGCATGTGCAGAACAGATTGTCAATATTTAAATTAAAATTAAAAAGATCTTAAACCAAGAAGGAGGTCTCTCTCAACACTGATTAATATGTCGGTTGATGAGCCATAAATACTCATTGACAAATCAATATTCATTATTCATAAGAAAAGAAAATAGATGAAATTACGTATTAAAAGTCCAGTGCAGACTCATCCCCACTGGCAGCATCCGTTGACGAGCTTGACTCATGAACCAGCCACCGTTTCGCTCATCTATGTTTCAGGAAACGTAACGACCGCACACCACACCTCCTTAGAGAATTTTAAGAAAGCGTGAATATTCTAGATACTTAGTAATATATTTTTATAAAACTGGTTTCTAGAGAAGGTTGAGTAGGAAGTATCTGTTATTGACAATATTATTGTAAAAACCAAAAAAAAAGCACATAACCACCGTACGAAAATTCACATTATACCTGGCTCGATGTCCGCCGTGAACATAAAAGTTCAGTAGCGATATCATAATAGCTGTACATGTTTTTGTGATTTTGAAATTTAAAACTATAATATATATATATATTTAAAATTTATACCTTGCTGTTAATTTTTTTTGTATTTTTATTAAGATAATTTCATTATTAATATGAGGAGGTCTAGGCATTTTTCATTATAATATTTAACAAAAGTTCTGAAAACCATAACAACTAGGTAAATTAGTTTTATTGCTCTTACGGTAAGTTGCACAAACGTCTATTAAGGTTTAATGACGCCTTTAAGCTCTAATGAATGTCAAATTTATATGGATAATGTTACTTTAAACTAATGAAAAATTCAATGGACGTTTGTGCAACTGGCTGTTAGTTGTTAGTTGAAATACATAACGGAACAAGTCCATAAAAAAAAGAAAAAAAACAACGATGTCATACCTTTTAATATTGATACTCTATTTACTTTTATTACGTCATAAAGCAAATTTCAATGATTATCACAGTCGTTATCCGAAAAAAACTAGTGTCATCTAGTTTGCTATCGAGAACTAACGTTTTTTTTTAAAAATACTTCCCCACTATGAACCATAGAATTAATAAGTACTACGTAGTACTTATTAATTCTATGCTATGAACTAAATCATTCAACGAAACGAGAACAGAACTGCTTAATATTGTGATGAAAATATTTTTTTAGCAAACTGCTGATATGAAAAGTAAAGTTTACATTACTTTCTCAATTTAATCACCTTTAATGTAACTTATTATACCTAGGATTTAAATCTTAACTTAACTTTGCCTTAACCTAGGGTTATACTTTCTCTATTTTTATTATTTTTTTGATGTAACAATTATATACCAAAATTTTGAAAATATGGCTGTATGAACAGACTTCTCCTTTGCTAAAATGGAAGAAAACTTTAACTTAAACTAAAAAATAAGGACATCTGATATAATAAATGTTGCCAAATTATGACTTTTGTAATGCTTTTAGTTACTTTTTGAGTCCATGCGTTAGTTTAAAAGATAGTTAGTATAACTAACATAAATTTTATTTAAGACTTAGCCTGTCGAAAGTAATTAAAACTTTAGTTATAATCTAAATCGATATCTAATGTATTTTTGTATTTTCTTTGTGAATTTTCAATAGACTAGTTTCAGTAGTAAAAAACAATTCATGAAACCGCACAAAAACTAAGTGATGGGTTCGATGCTTGGGCGAATAAATGTAAGGCAGACTTAAGCTTGGGAATTGATTTATTTTATGTTAAATAAGTAAAGAAAAAACTGTTACAAACAAAAAAAATATATAAAAACAGTTCGTAATAATATATAAATAATATATAATTTCTATTTTAATCATAATAACTTCATTATTATAATATTTTATATTTAAATTTATAATAACATGTTCACAACAGATAATTTTTTTTACGAACATATTGAATTAGTCAAAATTTCAAATTACGAAAGGTGAATAATAAAAAGAAATGATGTTAAATATCAAAGACAAAAAGTTTGCACGCTGAAACCTAGGACGAAACAAACGGTGGTACGGCACACGGTATACTTTGTAGTAAGCATAAAGATTTTGACTTTGAGTCTTAAAATCGCACGATTGTCTTATTACCTTAAAATTTCAAGACCCGCTATGAGTGACGTCACTGTAGTGACAGCTATCAGATTAGTCATAGAGATATGCTTATTAATTATAAATCAAATTCCTATGTAGCGCTGCACTTAGCTTATTTATATACTTTTATTTCGTAACCGATCGTTAGATGGCATTGTCCTTGTTTTAGTGTCATTTTTTTAATATTCTACTCTATGCATCTGTTTTTTGTACATATCAGAATGACGTCATATGACGGACACCGTTTATCGCGAGTGTAAAAAATAAAATCTTAATCTGAATTATTTGTTTTATAACTTTTTTAAATTCAAATAAACAGTTACAAATATTATTTTAAACAGAGTAAGATAACCTATTAAAACAATAAATGTTTCAAAATCATCAATAATAGCACAGGTGACTGATATAATCTAGTCTTGTATTATTAATGATTGAACTTATATTATAACAAAATGTTTATTTCCATTATTAGGTAATGATCAAATATATAAAAATCAAAAATTCTAATTTTATATGAATGAACTACTTCAGAATTGAATTTTATTAATTAATTAAAACTTAATTAAATACACTTTACCTTCTAACTTAAGGTTAAGTGTATTTTGTACGCCTGTTATATTTTTAAAAGACTATTCCATATAAGCTTTATGTGAAAAAATTTTTCGTCTTTTGAAACTTTAAAATTGAGTGGTTGAGCAAAAAGAGCAAATGAGGGCAATGACGCGCTGGGGAGTAGAGGTTGGAAACCAATACTTCCGTTATATTTCTTTTAAATATTGACATTTAACCGAAAATTAGAAATTAACTAATAATTTTTAGTCTAATATGTACATTTAAACCGGAAATGAAAATATATCTATGACTATTTTTTATCACAATATTTTACAAAGATATGCCTTTCTTTTAAAATACTCTTTTATATTTATGAGTCCCAAAAAATCTAGTCTGCCACTAAATCTCGTCTTTTATAGAATGCGACTGAGTATGAGGCCACTTCAGATGCCTTACGTAATACTACTTTGCGTAACATCTGAAGAAAGTACACTGGTAACACTATTTGACGCAAGCTTGAATGACAGATGAGTGGACGGTTGCTTTGCTTTGCTTTGATATTGTAGGTATTGAACTTGTTATTGGATTTGCTAGGAAAGTAATTATCTTTTTAGCTTATTTTGTGTGATAATAATGACTACTTTTTTGTGACTGAAACCATGTTAAGTCAAACTTCTACTGAGGCGTTGCTTTCAGCGACCTACGTAGAAAATTACCTAGATTGTGTTGAAAATCTTCCAAACGACCTGCAACGACATTTATCTCGACTTCGTGAGCTTGACGTAACGTATAGAGGTAAATATATTAAATTTAATAGTAAACTTTTATTCTGTGACATTATCAATCTTATTTAAGTTATATTTAACTCAAATATGTTTCAATAAAGATCATTCAAACGACCATGTTGACATTTTGTTACAGAAGTCGCTATGCGTACGTTGACGTACGGATGCATGTAGAATTAGTACAAAAGAAAGTACGTTTTTAGATAATTATCCTACTTTCATTTATATTATTCAGTATAATAAACTGGCTATAGTCTTTTTTTACCTAAGCTTTTATTTCAAGTTAAAGCAAATTATGGTATTGACTAGAGGTACCACTTGGAATCACTATTATTGATCTGTCTATAGTTTTATACCATAATTATGTCAAATTTCTGATATTCGGCTATATATTTCATTCATAAAAGAACTCAAATCCTAAATTCAGTGTATACAAATTTCAGTAATGTTAACAAACTATTGTTTATTTTAGAATGCATAAGAGATGCTGAGACTCACTTAGCAGTATGCATCGGCCCCAACACTGAAGAAAAACGCCGTGGGAGAGCTGCCCTACGCCTGCAGGCTGCATTGGTAGCAGCGCAAGAAATCGGAGATGAGAAGCTACAAGTTGTGCAACTTACACAAGATCTTATTGATAACAAACAACGATCGTTAGATGCTGATCATAAAAAACTTAGTAAGTTCAAGAAAATATTCTTTAAAAAATCTTTCTCTATAACAATCAAATATATTTTAATAATAGGGTTACCTTATTAGTAAAGTAAGAATATAATAATTTTAAGTTATTTAAATATTTAATTTCTTATTCATTCATCCAGTTTTGTAATGCTGTCATTTATTCATGAGGCAACATTTGTTCATGTTCATTAACATAAACACTGTTTCTGAACCTTGGCAGTCCACACTAGTAAGTTGCTAGGATGTCACCAGAGGAGGTAGTAATTTAAAAAGAATATAATTGAATGGTTTATAAAATTTGTCCTGTCAACTTCATATAAACTAGATGTTTTGTATTCCTCTCCGTGTCTCAGCTAACAGTGGACAACTAGCAACATTTTACTAAACAGTGTTTCATCACCTTTTCTTTTAAATTGTATAAAGATATGATGCAAGATTGTAAAATATTGTTTATAACCTGTTTACTACAAATGTTGCCAAAGAATACCCTACTACCTGTACCACTTATAAGTAATCATACCTATAAGTGATCTGTAGTTGAGTAAACTTATTTCTTTTAATTGATCTAGGTTTAATTATTTGAAATTTTTTCTCAGTTTCTTGCCTTGATGTAAACACAAATGGCACGGCAAAAGAGAGTACGCCACCTTCAGAAACACACCGTGGTACAGAGAAAGACACCAGCATAGCACAAGTGCCACAACAACATGCACCACCCGCTCCACCACCTGAACGAACCAATGAAAAGGAAAAGGAGAAAGTGGACAAAGATAAATCTGGGGGTAAGATAATGTTTAGTGATGGTAAAATACCAGAACTACAATACTATATACTATTTTGGCATTTTTTGTATCATAAATATTAAAATTCACAGGAGAGCGATGGTCGAAGAGAGCACGGCGGTCTAGAACGACAGCAGGGGCAGCTACAGACGGCGCAGATTCGAGTGAAAGAGACAGCGAAAGGCACGCGCACAATACAACACACAAAAAAGGTAATGTACTGAAATAACATGATATTATCATATTAACATGATATTTTAATATAAAATGAAACAATTAAATGTAATAAAATCTATTACCTGGTAATTTGATTAAATCAAAATTCTCTCTTTCATGATTCTTGAGAAAAAAAAATTGTGTTCTCTTCTATGACGTTTAAGCAAATGTAATAGTGTAATAGATTGTTACTATATTTGATCTTGTTTTCATTTCAAGTTTCGTAATATATATTTAATTTATTCTACAGGCATTGGTAAAAAGAAGAAACGCAAAGCCCGTCAAGCGGCCCAACGTTCAGAAACTCCTCCAGGAGACGCCGATCAGATTGATCCTGATGAGCCTAGATACTGTTTGTGTGACCAAATCTCCTTTGGCGAGATGATCCTATGCGATAACGACCTCTGTCCCATAGAGTGGTTCCACTTCTCTTGTGTCTCGCTCACCACTAAACCTAAAGGGAAATGGTTTTGTCCCAAGTGCCGCGGTGACAGACCCAATGTGATGAAACCAAAAAGTCAATTCCTTAAAGAACTTGAACGATATAACAGGGAAAAGGAAGAAAAGGCATAGTGATTATGCTATCATTAGTTGTAAGGCGTCCATGGATCTTTAAATGAGAGTATGTGCCTTATCAATCAATGTTTAATTAAAAGAAGCATGTCTACAGATAATGAAGAAATATCTTATAAATAAATGTAGGAAGTTTCAAAAGGTACATACATTCCACTCATTTTTGGTCCATAGTAGGCAGATTATTATACTGCTCATCATCAACTTAATAAAGAGTATTTGAAATGTGATTTCAGTTTATGTAATTGACGATTATTTCTTTTTATTAAATGATATAGTCTTAAGTCTTGATTGAATAATGCTTGATGGTTCAGAAGAATCTCTTATGTTCGAAATGGTTCCAATTACATAATTCTTTTGTCTGTATCTATATTGTGGCCGTAATTGACTATAATATATATTTGACTCTTATCCAGTTCTAACGTGTTAATTGAATTGCAATATTATATTTTTATGAATAATAATATTATGTAGTACATGAATAGATATTGGTTATGACGAATAATATATTTTTGTCATAGTCATATTGTGTTATTACTGTGAGGTTGTATGTGCTACATTACGGACAACCTGTGGTTGCTAACAAGTTTAATTTCATATATTCGAAATAAAAAATAAATATGTTTTTTTTAAGAATATACTTTTGTTTCAATTTTTTGTTTTGAAATATTTATTTCAGCACTGTTCATGTATTGAACTTTATAAACTGTGCAATAAAAACTTAATTTTGTTCATAGAGGGGTTTACTAAAAATGTATATTCAACAATGGTGTATCCACGAGCGAGGGCCCCAGGTCATCGGAGAATCTCAACTACCAACATTTATGTTGGTTCAGCTTTTTTATATTTGGAGGGGAATCTGATGGATTTGCCACTAACCTCGAACGGTATAATTAATACACAAAATAAATATATCTGTCACCATTGATTTTTAACGACGAGCCTGCGTTAATAATATTGAACTTCTGGCAAATAGTAGAATGGCAAAATTCAAGTAGTTAGATTATATTGAGATGCGATTGTTACGTAAAAAATTGCAGAGCCGAGGCTCATTAAGCAGTCAGTAAAATAAACTTTATAATGACAAATATTTGACAATTCAAACTTGACTTTATTCTATAGATAAGTGTTGATATGTCTTTCTTTTACAATGAACGTGGTAAGACTGTCCTCTTCATTATATTTATATAGACAGTCGAGAGACCAGTTAAGAGTGACAGCAATCGCAGGCGACAGCGACAGGGTCGGTGCTAATCCGTGAAGATCCGTTATAGATCTCCCGCACGAAGAATGCTTTAGTAAGCGACGATCTTACGCCGAGTGTAAGTAATGTAATGGACCAAGTGATAAATTGAGGCATTATGAATAATGACAACCTGTTAAATTATGATTATATAAATTTTGATTTGAACTTCCATATTTATTACATTGCATCATATAGATATTGCATACGTACAAATTCCAAATAAAACAATATTATGATTTATTTAGTACACTTTATTTAAATACATGAATATCAATTGTCTACTTAAACTTACTATCAGTAACCACGCATAGGTCCAGTATTGTATCTAAACTACTAATTTATAAATATGTTTATAATGAGTTTCAACTATATTTAAATAACTACATACACTTGTCTAATTTGAATACCATTCGATTTCTCATAAATGCCATGATTTCATTGTCCTAAAATGTAATTTAATGTTGATTTATAAAATATTGCAATGGCTTATATTTTCGACTAGATTATTTCTATCAATATAATTACGCTATATTGCAAGATATTACGTAAGATACAATATCCTTGGTATATACCGTCTATAAATCAGACAGTAAATGAAATTAATTACCCATTTTTCACTATAAAACAAATCTAATAAAACTTCATATTTAAATATACGGAAATTCTCACATTATGCAAACAAAAATATATTTAAAAAAAAAATGAATACTGTATAAGGAAGTCATCAACATCTGTTATATTCTAGTAACTTAGAATTTTTTTGCTCCCATTCATTACATTTTAATTAAATCACTTAATAATAGTTAAAATAAGTAACGAAAGGCAAGATAAAATAATACTTTTACACTTGGCAAAAATATCCATCAATGTAAACTACACACTCTTTACTTTGTGACAATAATTTTCAATATGACACTAATTTGAACACAAATTCTAGTAATTAGAAACTAAATAATCAAGTAATCGATGTCGATATATTGGTTTTTGTATTATATTGTGGTAGAGTAATATTTCATATCTCGAATACATAAGTACAATATAAGATCTCACAAGTAAATAGGGGGAATTCGACAATTATTTGCTTATTAGAAAGCAACATCTAAACCCAAACTCCATGTGGATTCTTATTGGTGGGTGCAGCATTTTCCAACTGTCTGGGTGACCCTATTATTCGGCGAGCGCTCCCAGCCTTACATAAACCTAAATAAAACATAAATAATGTTCAATATCCAATTTATTACATTTTATTTTAGGACTATACTATTCCCCTGATAAAGTTGACTGAATTACCCGAGATTTAGCTTAAAGGAAACTTAGTGGTCCAAGAAGTGATCTTTGAAGAATCCCTGACTTAGATATAGTGAAGTAATAACAAGTAACTTATACGATTTAGCACAGGCCAAAATATTCTTCCCTTCCATATTTATTGAAATAAAGTTTCCTCATTAGTATATCATAGTCTACATTGTCTAATGCTTTCTTTAAATCTACATATAAGAATATCATCGTCCTGGAAACCCCTCTCAGAATTCGACACTTCACATTCTAAAAAAGATAGAGATTTGGCTACCAGGTAATTTCAAAGGAAACCACGAAAACACACCGTCCTACATTTGTTTTCGTAAGTCTAAAAGTATGAATGACATTTATTTGAAAACTGAAAATTTAGAAAATAAACGTGCCAAAAAGGTTTGCTTAGCAGGTCACCAACACATTCCATGTTTTTTAAATGTAACTAGTATAAAATTATTCACCTTTCCAGAGTCTTATATTTGAAATTATACCACATTTTAGATGAAATCTATTCGATTATTTGGAAACTTAATTACCATCTAACGGATGACGAAGCTCGTCCACACTGCCCGTGAGACTTTGTAGGTTTGCCTCTTTCATCTCTTGAACTAATCTTTCTACCTGTCGCTTCTTTTCCATTATAGCATCTTCTAATACACCAACCTACATAAATAACCAGAATTATATTATTCTTATTTTGTAAACAAAACTTTAACGACTCTTATCTATATTCTATATATAGGTTATGGAATCCAATTGCGGTTCGTTTGTCTCGCTAAAACTGGAGAACGACAGGGCCAATTTAGATGATTTAAGGTTTAAAATGTTTGTCGTAGCCCAGGGAAGATTTAAATACCTCTATTACTTACCTCTCTCTTGAGGTTCTCAGCAGTGAGATGGTTGATTTCGGTGGCATGCTTCGCTTGCTGTATCTGACTTTGCAGATTCTCCATTTCGGCAAGCATTGATCGTTCCAATGCTTGTCTAAAAAATACACCAGCAATTAATGATATGATTTAATTATTAAACCTAAACCCACTGTCTGAACTTGAAATTTTACTCATAGGAAGTAAATTATTTGCTACGATTTTTGTTCTAGAATTAACCCCTCACCTGTTTTCTTGCTGCCTATTACTTATGATCCTCTGTTCATTGTGGATTTCCTCCATAATCTTCCGAATTTTGTTCTTGCACTGGAGCAGTTCAGTTTCACAGTTGGCCAGCTTTGACCGCACAAGAACTATTTCCGACTTGATAGTCTTCTCATTCTGTTTCACAATTTCGCTCTCCTCCTCAACGTAATTTAGAGCTTGAACCTTAATGGAGATTACGATATATAACATTTTTAGTAAATTGTTGATAAAACAAACGAGATTTGAATATTTATTATTTAAAAAATCAACTTCCTCAATCAATGTTAATTTAATTATATTGTATACTCCTGACAACATAATTCCGATCACCACACTGATCACAGAAACACAATAGTGCACAAGTATACACCCTGTGCATTGTATATTCATCATCATCATCACCAGCCCTTTTATGTCCCCACTGCAAGGGCTCAGGCCTTCCTTATGGATGGTTAAGGAGGATACTGTATATTACCACCGTCTAATGTTCCGATTGCACGGCAGAATGCAAATAGATGTCATCTAAATTTATTGTTTGGATTCCAGCGTAAATATTTAATTTCGCTTTTTTACAATCTTTTGAATCATACCTGTTCAGTGCTAATCCGTAGCTGGTTGTCAGCAGAGCTGATTTGCTGCTGCAGTAATTCCACCTGCCTCTCCTGCTCACGACCTTTGTTCTCCCAATAGCCAATTTCTGCATCATACTACAAGACCAATGGAAGAATACATTAGCTATTAATAATGGGGTATATGCATATGATATAATTAAATTTGAAATTAGAGTGTAGAATAGTCTCATCACTTATTTAAACTTTACAGAAGTTATTACTTGATTAAAAGGGCATGTATGTTTCCTAATTCAATGACATTCTTTTCCAAATTGGTGAAGTACCCATCTCCCTAAAATTTCTTCTTCAATCAGAGCAAATTACCATATAAGCAGAGTAAAATGTGTTATGACTATCTGTCATATAAGTTCTCTACAACACTTTACATGGACAACGGAGATCTCATATGTATACTATCACTAAAATAGAAAAGAAAAAGTGTTTCAAATTTTATTTAATCAATCAATATTCTGAGACAACCCTGTAAAAGTGTAAATATGTTATCATATTGTACTGTGTTTTTTACAGTGCTTTGAATTAGTTTGATACATTCAATATCACGTCAGCCTATGCAAATTACATATTTAATGTATTATGTCTTAATACATTACAATTCAAAGTCAACTTTAGACATTTTGTAATAGATGCTATAACATTTAACATAATTACCTTAATAAGATCTACTTGTTGGCTAGAAAGTTTCTCTCTCTGTGTATTTACAAGGGAAACCAGTTCCCTGTACTGGCTGTTGTAGCTGACTGCTTCGGGATTCCGAGTATCGTAATTCTCATCTGGCAGGTTGACGGGAGACATATGTGCAGGACGAGAGTCACGGTTGCGATTAGGGGACTTGCGCGTTTGAGACGGAGGAGGGGGAGAGCGATATGGTGGGGGTGGATCCCTATTTATGAAACAAAAAAGGGTAAACATAAAGGTTGAGCTGAGCAGGTCTATACATAAATATAACTTCATATAATTGTTCATAATTTGATAAAATTGGTATAATAAGGTAAGCTTTATATTTGAGAAATTGTGCATTCAAAACGCTATACTGATAAATACCTATTTTTAATGAAAATTGTTTAAAAAATCACAATACCTGTGGCTAGTGGGTTTTTAAGCATTTTTCATTAAGAATAGGAATTATTTAAAAAAGAAACTATAATTGTCACTAGATGGTAATACTATTTTTAACTACAGTCGAATCCGTTTATTATGACATCGAAGGGAATTGACAAACACGTCATTATAAGCGGACGTCATACAAAGAGTTTGGTGATAAAAATTGTTTTTATGTAATTCTAATTAGGTATGTATTTTAATATTTTTAATAAATCATAAAAAAATTACAAGTAAAAATTATAAACGATACATTTAAGTATGTAATATTAGTATTTTTCATTTTTTTTATTAAGAAATCTGTAATTATTGCCTGTTTTTGTTTTTTTTTATTTTATTGTAATAACAGTCTCTAATAGTATTGTCTAAAGAAAATCACCATCGTCAAATTATCATTTTCAATATTGCTATGAACAAATCGTGATAATAATTCTGCAGCCTTTAATGCCTCTTTTGTGGTAGGTAATGGTTCTTCCTCGACTTCCTCTTCTCCATCACTTTCAAGTTAGCCACGTGCCGAACGACGCCGAGAATCACCGACAATTATCGGAAGTGTAAAAAGTCTAGGCTGTCATTATAACCGGAAATAATTTATTAAAAATGGGTCATAATAACCGACATGTCACTATAAGCAAAGTCATTATATCCGACGTTTTTTCAAGAATTTTATATGAAAACCAAACTTCGTTATGTAATTACGTCATAATAAGCGGTTGGTCACTATAGGCGGTGTCATATTAAACGGATTCGACTGTATTTGTGTGTATTTTGACCAGAAATGATGACATTAAAATGGACCAGATGAAATAATTTTAAATCCTTTCCACATAAAATAATACTAGAATTTTCAATAAAAGTAATTTTGAATCAGGTGTTAAAAGAAACACAAAGAGAGAAAAAATAGACAATGATGAAATGGATTTTTGATAACTTCTCCTGTATAATAATTATAATAATCATGCTTGAATTTTCTAATTAAAATTATTAAAGTAAAACATGAAGCTTTTAAATAACATGCTTAGCGATTTATTTTTATTTATTTAATATGTTATGCACATTTAAAGTACAAAGATTATCATTTATAAAGTAGTATTTGTGTCAATTCTGTAGGCAAAAAGTAGACCAAGTTTAACTAAAATGTAATAAACTATGTCACAATTGTTTTTATTTTACTTTAGTAAGCTACACAACAAAAATTACATTATGGTTACCTATAAGGTGGCACATCTTTTAATAAAGGACTATTAGATTCTGGTGTTTTAGCTTGTTGTATTCCTTTTACCACTCCAACAGGATTCCCAGGGGACCCATTGCTTATGTTATTGTTATAAGGTGGTGTTGTGTTCAATCTATTTGGTGAGTTCTGGCTGTCCAGTATGTTAGAATTAGATATATTATGGCTTCTGTAAAAATAATGATGATCACATTTAAAAGTAGTAGTTAGTCTTAATATCTTATTAATATTAATCAAAATTAATTACTCATCTATCAATTATATCTAAAAATCTGGTCTATATTTGTGATAAAAAACATTCTACAAATTTACAATAAATCACTTATGTGACTAGAATATAAGGAGAGAATTCTAAAACTCATTCTTGTATAGTAAATATAATTTTAGAGAAAGCTGTTAAAGGCATCATAAGGAAATTAATATTATAATAATGTTAACATATACATATTGGCATATTGGTTAAATGTGTTATCTAGAATAATTGATATTATTAAATATTACTCAACATTATTATGTTGTTACTCAACAATATTATTATATTATAATAAATTTGACTAACAGTCATAGATTTCTCCATTCCATTTAGTTTTATAGATACCACATTACAAAATTCAATTATTTCATGCAACATTTTTATACCTACCCATTTCCAACAGGTGATCTTGAATTGTTAGTAGACTGTGGTTTCTGGATTTGAGTATTATTAGAGTCTGATCGCCGCAATATAAACTGAATGTCATTAGAATATTCCCCCCATTTCATAAGAATCTAGAAAATACAATCGATTATCACTTCTAAATAAACTAGAAATTAAAATTACTTCAAATTTGTTACTCCTGTGGTTAATATTATAAATTATATTATTACTTGCATTCTATAATTATACACTTCTTGCTGTTCCTTGGTATCAATGGTAAATGATATAACATGTATTAAATTTCATGAGATGATACTGCAAACTGCATCAGAATGTACTTCCATCAAATAATAATGAAGTTTATACTGTGTTGTTACTATTGCAGATGGTATGTCAGAAAGGTTTACAAGCATCACTATTAAAATTAAAAAATATTTACTTTACCTTTAATGGATATTCCTGTGGAGCTAACAACCTTTCATTATTTCTCCAACGCTCGATCAGGGTAAATCTGCCAACTTTACCAGTGGCGTGAGCCAATGCAAAAACTACATCCTGATCCAGACAAAATAAGTTTAAAACATAGTTATCCAATGCATAATGACTAAAAATTTCACTCTCATAAAATACTCAATGCTGAAATTGTCTTATTTATAATAAAATTATAGTACAGACCTGACAAGTCGTAGACTCTGTGACCCCACAAACAATCCTTTGTATTCCTTCAACCCAGACCTTCAACTCCATGAATTTTGATAAATCTTCTTTCTAGTTAATCTAAATATTCAGCTACGACATTATCGTCCAGGCATTCAACCTGCTTGTGACTTTTTTCTCACGTAAAACGTATTAAAATACAACACAAACATACCCAAAACACAAAAGAAAAGAAAATAGGCACCTACGGTACGCACTGTAAAAAGTGGGTTATGTCAAATAACGTTCAGAAATCGGTAACTTCGCCAATAAGTAATTTTGTGAGTTGACAGCTTTTGATGACTATCGTTCGAGAAATGTTAAAGTGAGCTAGAGTGAGTCTCAGATAATAAATCTGTGGAGTAAGTAAGCAAAAATCCTTAAAATTATAACTAAACCATAAAATCCACGCTAAAGAAGCAAGCGAAGATACCCCGTTCCATTTAAAGTGCCACAAGATATAAACAAATATATGCAACGACATGATAGTTTTAGAGATGGGACATATTAATATGAGTTTGATTGATTGAACTATCTCATTTATATCATTCAGTAATTGACTTTCTCAATAAGCAGAATTGACTTTCTCCATAAAATATATAATGAAATATGTATTATAAGCAGAGGTCGGAATTAGGTAGAGTTATTTATCGAAATGTTGATATTAATGTTGACCTTCCCGAGACAAAAAAGTTTGAAGAAAACACAAAAGCGATAAGTACGTACAAAAGTCAATGTATATATAAAGTGACATTCGTTTGAGACATGCGTCTTTAAACTTTTGTGCAAATATGGAGCTACAAAAATAATTATAAAAGCTGTTCAGTGGGCGGCTGTTTAAAGTGCCTCTTAACTCGATGTCTATAATAATGGTTTCCGATTTTGAATCAGCATAATGAAGTAAATTAAATTCACGCTTATAAATTAATTTTGTAAATTAAATTCACACCACCAACAATATTACGTAAGTCGAAAACATAATTTTTTGTTTGTGTAGATATTATGTTGTTTTTAAATTCATTTGATAGGTTTAGGTCTAAAACGGATATGGCAAAACAGATTTATGTAAACAGGGCAATCCGTTGCAAAGTTATTAGGGATTTTCGATAGAGAAAATTGTCAAATGTAAAATTTATGTTTATCCTGTTTCATTTCCTATAAATCAATTATGTCATCAAAAATAGCAGTACCTATGAACCGAATTTTCGTAAAAAAAGTGCCTGGATAGTTCATTATTTCATCTTTTCAGTATTAGTTCATCTATTATTTCCCTTATAAACAGTGTTATTTAGTTTTATATAATTATGGCATATACTCATCCATAACGTTGTTATGAAATGATGAGAGAAAAGCTCTTAATAAATTTGTTTCAGTTATCGATTACGATCCATATAATTAATAATACGATTCCGAGCAGCAGCAGCCTATCGATACATTTCAGACAAATGGAGGCACAGCACTATTTTGTGCAAAAATGCAAAAAAATGAATTCGCTATATTATATTACTCTTTGATTACATTGCTGTCTAGAAACGTGGTCAGGAACATTGATGTTGGTTTGAGCAATCAATGTATATTTTATTTGACATTGTGTCAAATTAATACGTTTTTTATATTTTAGCAGTAAAATTGTACTTACCGGTGAAAGGAAATGTTTGCATTACTTTGCTTTGCTTTTTGCAAGTGGTAATAACACAAAACGGCATTTTTTATAGAAAAATCTGATAATCACCTCTCGACAATTGACGAACGACTGGCAAACGTAAGAACGTAAGACCGAGGAAAGGGCGCCGTATGAGTAAAAACGCATACGCCAGCCACGCGTGTCCCGCCCACTTACTACTTCTAATCTCTCTATGTTCTGTGGTTTATGGTGATAGCTAGATCTCCGCAAGGCAAAAACAGAGAACGCACTTGCAAAAATCAAGATCTTGTTAGACGCCAGAGCCCCTGTATTATAGAGTTTCTAAGACAACGAAGGTAACACAACACCCAGACCTGAGACAATATAGAAAAGTTCATTTTCTATATGTAAAAATGTTCGATTCCCGACCGGGAATCGAACCCGGGACCTCAGAGACTCCTTTAGAAAGAGGAATCACTGACTTAAAAAAAATTGATTTAATTTTAGTTTGGGGATCAGGGTCTCACAATAATTAAAGTGTTAATTTGTAACCAAAAATGCCAAATTATTAATTTATATATAAACATATGTTCTATGTTTGGTTTCAAAAATGATTATTATTATTATAGTTAATGAAAAATGTTTCAAAAATCCGTTTTGTCCCTGGCACCCTAAGGTAAGATTCAAACCCATGAACCCAAGATATTTCGCTATCTGGGCGATTGTTCTAACCACTGAGCTACCCAGGGCATAACAGGACTGACGAATTTTTCAAGCATTTGTTAATTTTTAGTCAATATTATAAATTTCATCAATATTCAGGCTGTAATTTTAATTAGTATTGATTTTACGTCAAAGACATTTTGACATATATTTACTACAAAATACAAAAAAAAATCAACTATTTTCTCAAAACTAGTTCTTTTTTTCAAACTGTCAGTAACATGTACGTCAACTGTTAGTTCATAATCTATTATTTTTCGGGAAAACTGTGATTTTACTGCTTATTTCTCAAAAGTTTCTTTAAAAATGGTGTTAAAAGTGATAGTCGAAGCTAACAAATCAGTTTTGGTTGCATTTTGTCGTTTGGTCATTGCGAAAACTCACTAAACAGTTTCGGTGAGTAATTTGTTTACATCTTTCGCCTCTTTGAATGGAACAAGGTATATCCGTATTTTTTTCCATTTCGACCCGTGTTCTTGTGTCAGAAAGAGATGTGTAATATCAGTAAAGTCTCAATTTATGCAGATAGTCACAAGTTTTTGCAAACCCACAGATTTACTATTTTTACCTTAATTAAGTTCCTTGTCCACATTTTATGTTAATATATATATTTTTCAATAAAATTTAAGTTTATTTTTGATAATACAAATCGCACACCTAAATCTAAACTTTTTTTTTGACGCTGAGAAATGCGTTACGCATACCCGCTACACCCAGCGCGGGCTTCACGGATCATGTGGAACTCCTCTTGCGGCCCCACCCTCGAAGAGACTAGACAAGAAGCAGAAGTTTACCCACTAAAACTCAAAGATGTCCCTCACATGGAAGACGATGCGCGGGATCGGCAGATCTAGGTGTGCGAAATATGAAATTATTGTTTATATTTTCAAAATACAATTACTGGAAAAATATTGAAAGTTACAATAAAATATTGTTCGTGTGTATTAAAATAATAAAATTGATTGCAACTTGTTAAATGTTTTCATGGGGTGGCCACAGGTAAATGAGAATTAAAACAAATTAGATTTAGTGAAATCTTATGTATTGTTCACATTTAAAAAATGATGTAAAAACAATAAACTCGTGGTTTTAAAGTACTTCGAAAAACATGTCCTTCTAACGATTGGATCATTTGCATCTGAATTAATGCAAGGATTCGTATCAATCACTGATTCATTTGGATTATCGTTTCTCAGATAGATTTTAGGGCACAATTATGACTGCATTTATTCCATGTCACATAGAATTTTACCATCGAAATTAAGTAAAGAATTAATTTTAATTTCGTTTGTAAAATATTAAATATTTTTAAACCCTTTCACAGTGACGACTTTTATTTCTACTTCACGTATATGTCCGCTGAGACATTTTCGAATTTCTTGATTTTCCGATTACTGTAATAATACTTTGCTATGACCACATACACATCATCCACATGTAAAAAAAATTGAAAACAATCATCGCGATGAGACGCGTGAGATGCGCCTTAATCCGCAACGAGGTAATGATAACCACCTAACACGCTATAGAGCAAGGACAGCATCGCGCTCGCGCTTACGTTACCTTAACAATCAACAAAAAATTCGACAACAAACACATAGACCCTGAGGGCCAATTCTACTAATTTACAACGATCGGTCATCAATAGTGTTACGTTTCGATTGTTGCTGTAAATTTGCATTCTGCTAACGTCAATTATCATACGAACGTTTACTAAACTAAAACGTAATCGTAGCCCAGGGGAGAGTAACTTCAAGTCATTACGCATGGAGACGAAGCAAGTGCGGCGACGGTAAATGCAGCAAAAAAATGATTTCGGCGTTAAACCAAAACCAGCATCAACAGTGGCGAGCGTGGGCGTTGATCATAGATTTCGCCTCACCATCCATCAGTCATTTAAAGAAATTCCGAAACATGTCCGCACACAACATATTTTCACAAAAGCACCACCCATTCATGAAAAACCTCGAGCCCTGAACCTGGCGAAGTATAAAGCTGCCGAACTGAAAATAATCAGATCGTCCTCTAGTGCTAATCCGCATCACGCAGTGAATAAAACAAAACGGATAATTAAGGTCGTACGGTGACTAGCTTCGTTTAAATGCTATCACCGAACCCGAACTCTAAAGTTTCACATATATCTTATAAAACAAAAACTATGTCAAAAATTGTCATAAAACATGCATATTGTACATAGCAATTATTATACCTTTCGGTTTATTTCTTCGCAATGCTGCTCAATGATGCCTAGAGAGATTCCCATAGAAATAGTAATTACCAAACAAGTCAAAACATTTTTATTTACTTAGACGACATACTCATTTGTTCCGAAAACGTATCACAGTATAAAAAAAAGTAGAAAGATTATTTAAACGCCTAAATAAATACGGCATAACAATTAACATATGTAAATGTGAGTTTGGTAAGCCAGAGCTAACATTCTTGGGATACCGAATCAACTGCTATAGAATTAGGTCGCAAGAAGAGAAAGTCAAGGCTATCATAGAATACTTGCAATCGGAAATCATCCATAAATTAAAAAGGTTTTTAGGATTAATAATTTTTTACAGAAATCATTTACCCAAAGTTGCAGAAACACAAGCACCTTCGTAAAAATAACTTCACCATTTTACGTCACTAATAACACTTCACAACACCATTACTTCGTACGCGTCGCTACATTCCGTAACAATACAGAGACATACAATAAAGCCTTTAGGAGAATTCGAAAAATCGAACGTTTTGCACACGAACATATTGATTTAATTGGGCCATTTATACTATCGGATCATTACATTGCTTCACGATGATTGACCGTATCAGCAAATGAATGGAAGTCAAACTGATCAAAGATGTAAAGGCCGAAACAATCGCAAACAAATTCATCGAACAGTGGATATCGCGATACGGCCGCCTCGTACGTATAACTACTGATCAAGGTAGGCAATTCAAATCTCAGTTATTCACGCAAATAACTAAGCGTTTAGGAATCGAAAAAATAAACACTACGAATGTATACATCGCACACTCAAAACTGCAAAGAGGAAGTATTTAAAAAAACACATTAGTTCCCTAAATCTAACTAGATGTCACCACGGTACGTTCTTGATTTCTCCATGACAACTTTTCCGGTTTTCTTAAATGTTTAAAAGTAAATTAGTTTCAAAACTCAATAAACAACTCATATTCTATTTGTACTTTTTCGTATTTGTATTGATATCTAAGTTTCGAACTTTTCTAATTTCAGGAACGGAAATGACTGTCTTTGGTCCATTCGTTTCCTGAAAAAAAAACAACTTTTGCTAGAGTCGCCAATCTAGTGGAGGTGCTATTTTAGTGCTTTCGTTTTTTTTAAATACTTCCTCATTACCGCACGATATAATCATTCTATTCAATGGAGTAAGGAATTGGCTAAGGGTACTTAAACCTTAGGTTTGAAAGCAACAATCAAAAAGGACTTAGGATTCAACCTTGCAAAAATGACATTTAGCATATCTATTCGACTACCAAGAGATTTTTTTATACACACGCAAAGCAAAGTTTACGTGACGAGCTATACCGTTAAACTTATGGACACTCTACACAATTTAAGACCAAAGCAGCAAAAAGAAAAAAATCAACGCAAGATTTTAATGCATTATGACTTGAAAATTGCAGACTATGTTTTCGTAAAAAAAACTACGCCATATAAAGGTCCATTTAGTTAGAATGTGGCACATCTGTTTAATAAGCTTTGTCGTCCACTCTGTGGCGACGTAATCTGTGGCATTTATGAGCATTGTTTCTAAACCTCAATATCACTATAGCATTGTGAACGTTAACTTGAAATATAATATTCGCCTAGCCTTTTTTTTCTATATTCTCTATTAAAAATATTGCCAAGTTATCTCTAAAAATCTCAGTTTTTCACACGCCCATTTCAAGATCTTTCTGAGGTTCCGAAATCGATTCCCAGTCGGGTCAAAGTAGAAAATGAGCTTTGGCTATTCATCTTGGAATCTGGGCAATGTAGGTATATGATATTGTTTAATAATAATATTATTATAATATGTATACAAGAAGGTGAGTGATTGAGAAATTTTACATAATAATACTTTTGACTTTTTATTTCGTATGTCGTAATAGTGGAAATTCAATCATCAGAATCGGAGCTTTCTGTTGCGATACACTCACCCTATTTAATATTTTTCCGTTTACACCGCTCTTTCCCCAGTTACTTGCGAATATGTCTAAAAGCTGTTAATGTTTATTAAAATAAGCAAATAAATTGAATAAATTTTAAAAATACCACCTTTTCACTTCGTGAGTTCCGCGCTCCTCTCTATTTTTTGAAAATAGGTTTATCACCGATATATTCTCTTTGGTTATCGATTTAAAAAAATAAAACAAAGAAAGAAAACACTGCGTTTTATTTTGAACTGGTAAAAACAATCCATTATATTAATTTGGATTAGATTTGCGTGTTCATACGCACATAACTGGGATAAGTTCATACAAGTAGTCGTAAAAATGGCGCAAGAAGATGATGAAGAGGTAAGTGAGAGCTAAACGTCTCTTTTTTATTTCGGTACTTTAAATGATCGTTTCGGTAGTACAACAATTTAGGGTAATTTAATCCATCGTAAGCTTTTGCCTCTATACAGCCCAACCTGGCGGCTTATTCCGTTTATCCACCCTGAAACAGCCACATTAAGCCACACTGTACTTGGGGTAAAAAATCGGAAGAACATTCAAAAGTGATTTCCATGTATCCACCCCGTTCAGAGTGAATAAAAGAACACGCGTTTCCGAGTATCCACCTTAGGGCTGTTTCAGGGTGGATCAACGGAATAAGTCAACCTGGCCCAACGATATAGTCATATTTTCAACGTCTATTGAGGTTGATTGGAATAATACTTCTTATACTGTACAAAATCTGCTTCACCCCAGTAGAGCGTCAAATATTTTGTAAACATCTATGTAGGAATACCTTTTGTCGATCACTAGTGGCCGCCAGCGACTTCGTCCGCGTTTTACATTATTTCTTCACTCCTAATAGTTGCAGCGTGATGTTATATAGCCTAAAGGCTTCCTCGATAAATGGTCTATTATACACAAAAATATTTTTTCAATTCGAACCAGTAGTTCCTGAGATTAGCGCGTTCAAACAAACAAACTCTTCAGCTTTATAATATTAGTATAGATAGATAAATAAGCGCCGGCAGGCGCGTTCGTTACCGGTTCAAAATGTGCAAGAGCTTTCTAAAGTTTTATATTTGAATATGTATGTTGAAGCACACCTGATGGCGGCAGCGAAGCGAAACAAAATATGTTTGTTTGAAATTTAAATGAACTAATATTTTAGTAATAAGTGAACTCTTTTTGGGTGCTCATTTTAATACCTAATTCTTAGATCTGTTGAGTCGCTGCGTTTCATGATTGTATTGTAATCTGAGCAGTTTTTGTATGAAGAATAAGTTTTATGCTATTTGTTACATATTAAAGCACGTTTAATATGTGTTGCCATTTGTCATACTTTACTTACTTACATTATTCCGCCCGCCGCCACCAGCTTAGCGACCACCTATTTACTATAGCTATAATTCTAGCCATAGAATTATTTTACTACTTGTCATGTACTTTAATAACGAATAAAGAATGATAAATATGGATAAGACAGCAGTATTCCAATTTAGTCATTCATCGCAAAATCCAACAAGACATGTTAAAGTAGTAAAGAAACGAAATGTCGTCATAATATTCCCCAATATCGTATTCTATGGTTAAAAAGTTTCAGCAACTGACCTGCGCACTGGGTATTGAGTGCTAGTAGTACTTTAACATACTGAAATGGCAAGAATTAGAAGGCGTTCGTACATTTTTGTCACGATGTCTTAGACTATTTTGACTACCCCGTAAAAAACAACTGGAAATGGAAGCCGGGTCCAATGAGCTGAGAGTTCAAGGCTTACGTATAATGCATTGGGAATAATTTGGCCTTAAGTGTATACCTACCTGTTTAATCACTAAAATCTAGAAACAAAATCATATAATTAAGTACCTTAACAAATATTTAAGGATTTGGTATTCAATGTTGAAGAGGTTCAAAAGATAGTTCGAGACAACATTGAACTTTGCCTTGGAGGTAATACTTATAGTCACTCAAGAACGCCGCAATGGATCACTATCATCACAGAAAAAACGTTGGCCAGACTCAACAAGCTCAACAAGCCCTTCAAGTATATCCGTAAGTGCTTTACTAAGTACTTACAAATGTTATAACTCTCTAAATTGATGATAAAATAATATATTTTTTTAATAAAAAAGGCTTAAAATATCCACTAACCCCAATTACCCCGAGGTTGGTGGAGAGTAGTCACCCGAATTGCGGTTTGAGTCCTACCTCGGGATATCTGAGTGTATTGATGGAAAATTTAAGCGTTTTCCATTAAAATTATTATCAGTATAGCATTGTAAATGCAAAATTGATGATATATAAAAAAATAAAATACTAATTGAAAACATACAAAACCTCGAAAATGAATATATTATTTAGCGGCAGACTCCCACTCTAGACCTCTGCGCCATTCATAAATATAGGTATTATACCCAAACAAAATCTATCTATTCAAAACTGCCAGTGTACAAGACTTGTTTTAGTTAACTTATAACCGATTATTTTTATTTTATTATGCACAGTGCGAATCACGATAACGCAGAAAAACGGCTCAGGTCTTCATACAGCTGCAGCTTACTATTGGGATACAGCAACGGACAGCACATGCACCGTCCGCTGGGAAAATAAATTTATGTACTGTATCATCAACGTTTGGGGCCTCGCTTTACAAATATAGTTTTTAAATAAGTACAAAGGTGCGTTATCTAGCTAGACAAATGTATTCATCAACCAGGGTGTGGGATGTGCTGTTAACTTTACGCTTCTTTGATACAATTGTATTTACTTGGTTTAGTTGACCATAATAATATTTGTCTTATGAATATTAATTATTATTTGCAAGAAAACCTACCCAAGTGTCCTTGTCTATATATTTTTCGTCGGTATTGCGACGTTGTAGTAGATTGTAGACCTAAAGGTTAGACACAAAAATCAATCGAAGGCAGGACTAGTGATCAGTAGGATAAGGCACTAGCAGTCTGTCAGTGTTCGTGCAAGCCTAGTGTGGTAGTTCTTCTTGTCGCTGTTGACTTCAAGATAAAGTCGGCATAAAGTGAAATGTAGCTATTTATATAACTTATATGGATTTTATGTTATATATTGTTTGACCAATCCGGAATTAGGATACCGACGGCACAAAAGGCGAGTTTTCGCCTATGGACCGGCATACTTTGGTCTGCCACATATCTTTAGTTACTATGATTATAAAGTTGTGCTACTAACATGCTATAAGCTAACCATAGCGCACATCTTTAAATATTATGAGGGGCACTCTGGAATGAAACAATGTCTAAAGCACATTTTAGTAGTTTTATTTTTGGTAAAATTTACCACAATACAAAATAATTAGAAATAAATAAAGTAATAAAATGTAAAGACAGGTCAATAGAACAACTATGCATTGTAAAATTGGGTGCTTTTAAAGCAATTTAAATATAATTTATAATAACATTAAGCAAAATGGCATTGTGTACATTAAAACAAAAGCATTTAAAAATAGAAAATAATATCAAGAGCAGATGTTTACACTTAATTAACTCAATTTATTCATCACTTGGTGATTTTGGTCTTTTATTTATGATGTACAAATGACAACAGGATGCACACTCGTATAATATAGCACATTATTCCAACGTCACAATGTCGTCAAATATTTTATTAGAATGATTTCATTATAATTTACTGAAGTTATCGATAACTAAATTTTAAATATAATAAAAAATGAGCAGTAAAAAATCAATTAAGTATGTATTTATAACTAATTTTAATAAAAATATATGTTATTTATCATGATGAAATTAATCTGTACTTTGTATTTTATTATCGCAACTCGATGTAAATTATAACATTCACATTTTCGTATATCAAAATGTAAATGATCAACGATCGCAATCAATTATCAAAGTAATATAAATCTACATTTATAACACTGTATAGGTACACATCATAGTAATTCCAAATTTACATAGTGAGAATGTTGAGACTAGTTTCATATTAGATATTGTACTAAAACGAGCATCCAGCAAGCATAATGATGCATTTGATGTACCTAAATTTTCGAAACATTCTTGTAATAGCCGCATAAATAGTCCTAAATTATAAAACGAGAGGGCTTTCTTATACACTGGACTTACCAATCTTATTGGTTAATATTATACAAACAAAAAAGAATCAGTGACATTCAAGCTAGTAAATTCATTGGTAAAAAGAACTTTGAAAATACAAAACTATATTATTGACATTAAAACAAGTCACATATTGGTGAAGAATTTCACATACAAATTTTGAAAATTCCTATTCTATAATCAGACATTCCGCCCTGCTTCAATCTGCTCTATTGTTTATTTATAAAATACTTCGGGGCAAATATTAGTTATACTTAATACTGCTTGTTAGATGCAGTAACAAACTAAGCATATTTTATCCTATGACATCAGACTCCTTGTCTAGATTTTTCTATTGTCTCTGCATCTATATATTATATAGTTATAATTAACTATGATTGTGAATTATTTAAAGCACAATTTTCCACTAGCGAAAAATATCAACTGATTTCTACGATGACTATAATTGTGATGTATGTCTACAGGATTCAGTCTCTAAATGCTTAGAACGAAATGCTAAAAATATAGGTAAATCAATTTGCCAATCAATTAACTATTTTTGCATATCAAACATAATCTTTTATTTGATTTTAAGGCTGTGCTGTTATTATATTAAAGCTAACAAATGTGCATTTCTTTTTCAACCGTGCATTCATTGGGAGCAGTCGACGGTAACACGCTGCGTCCCCTGGCTTCAAACAACAACAATCTTTTTAACTCCCTGCCACTCGTAAGAATATCTTATTATTTACACCATAATGTAATAATGATCTATAAAATACAACCTAACATTATGACTACAATAAAACGAATTGTCGCTTAACCTCATTATTATGACAGATAATTTCTCTTATTTACAATTTACTATACAATACTCGTTAAAATTACTAAAAAGTAACATTGTACTTGTAACTTTGCTACCCTTTCTGAATGTACTAATTTCATTTTTATGAATTCTACAGTTTATGCTTAAATATTATGTACATTTATAAAGCTATGTTAGTCGAGACTTAGATGATCACAAGTAAAGAGAAATAAGAACGAAACGAGGAACAAATATACATTAACTATGCACTAACCATCTCATACCCAAATCCGGGGCTAATACATATCACATGATAATCAAGTGCAGTTAACACTTAAGCCGTTCGCGAACCGTCTATCGTCTATTAGTTAAAAAATTGTAAACTTATCACAAAACAAAATTTAATGTAAATTAAGTTCAAACTATACACTCCTTCAATGTAAACAAACACTGGGTAGATTCGAGAAAGAGATCATAACAAGATTCAAACTTCATTTGCCCAATTCACAGCAGAGGTAATAAAACAAGATGCAAGGTGGGTATAATGCGATATGTGAATTTGACTTTTTGTCTTAAATACACAAATATGTACACCTAAAATTGTCGTCGACCCAGTATTTCCATTTAATACAAACATTTCCCAATTCCAAATTAATAGAATTAATAGGAGATCCATCAATATCTAACTTTTCTAACCTGTTCAACTTCTATTCCACTAGTCCTAGTAGATTGTCTCATGATATTATCGTGGATTCCCGCAAGGGATCTGGTGTGAAAATATTGATAGGTTGAGTAACCTAAACAGAGATGTTTAGCTCCAGAGTTATACAATAGGACAATCAACACGGTACAGTGGAAATAGAACACTTATTAAAATCTGTTCGATTTGCTATAAATAAACGACTAATCAATGTATGTATTTCTAAAATTATGCTATAGTATAAGGACACGTTTATGCGACTCGAACTTGTTGTGCAAACTCAACGTGGTCAGTGCACAGGCACCACGTTCTCGCTTATATTTTAATTGGTGATCATGATATTTGTTATATAGAGTTCACATTTACAATTAATGTCTACACGAACGAAAGTCGCACGAAAACTTTAGCGTCGTTTAGATAAACGCTAAAGTAATAGTTTTGACTTATGATGCTCCAAAACTCTTCAGCAATGTTGACATTCAGTATTAGTCCTTCGTTCTACTGGTAAACAATTATAATTGACACCGAAATCACTCACGTGTGCTTCAATTAAGGTACTTGCGGCATTTCTTAGCACCGCACGTGCACGGTATTTTTATCTCTTCAAATGGAAACTTGTAGTCGTAGGTAAGTTCCTCGCCGACGGTGATACGCCGAAGGGCGAAAATCAGGATGTGTTTGTGGCCGTGAATATCCACAACGCGTGAGTAGCAATTGGGCTGTAACAAAGTAAAAAAAATATTTTATTATCTTAAATATTAGGGGTTAAAGTATGAAATTGCCATTTTATTGTAATAGGTTCCTTGAATTGACATAGAATCATGGTTTGAGGTTTTCGAAAGAAACTTTTTTCACGTGGTTTCTATGATGTTCTTCTATTAAAAAATATGAAACATTTGAATATCGACTTTCAATTGTTTTTGTTATTCAATTAAGACAAGATGGATACTGTGAAAATAAGAGTGATTTTTTAATACGAGTTCCGACGCGGAAGTAACGCGACAGAAACAGCCCGCAATATTAATGTTGCGTTTGGAGAGGGGTCTGCTAATGTACAGCCACGAGGAAGAAGAGTGTGGGCACACAGGTGCATAACGATGAATTCAGAGATGGTGGAAGCCCATCCTAGTCAAACTATCCAAGAGTTAGCGGCATGGTTTAACGTTACCTTACCCACAATATTGACTCATTTGCGTCAAATCAATAAAATAAAAAATCGAAAAATGGGTGCCACATGATTTGACTGATCTGCAGAAAGAAACGCGTGTTGAAACTTGTGTTGCCTTGTTAAATCGTTACTTAAATGAAGGAATATTGGATCTAATTGTGACATGTGATGAAAAGTGAATTCTTTAAGATATTCGTAATAGAAAAATGCAATGGCTGACCTCAGGTCAAACGCCACAACAGTGTCCTAAAGCTAAACTTGTTAATAAAAAGGTAATGGTAAACTGTTTGGTGGTCTCAGGATGATGTTATTCACTATAGTTATGATCTGGTCAAGCAATAACGGCAGATGGCTTTTGTGCCGAACTCCGAACAATGTTGGTAAAACTAGCAGTAAAACAGTCCCGACTTATGAATCGATCTTCACCATTATTGCTCCATGACAACGCGAGACCTCATTCAGCACGAGTAACCGTTTTGACCCTTCAGGAACTGCAGTTGGAAACCATTCGTTTCCAGCGTTGCCAGCAAATACGGAGGATGACGAAAGATCTGGACCTTGCTCCAACGTACTACTATTTTTTTCGTGATTTGGACAATTATCTACGTGACAAGAAGTTGTCTTCCCAGGAGGCAGTACAAAATGCTTTCACACAGTTTGTGCAGTCTAGTTCTATTGCAATGGCATAAATGACCTTCCTATTAGATGACAGCAATGTATAGTAGATAATAACGGTAACTATTTTGATTAAATAAATTAGTAAAAAATTAAAACATCAATAATTTTGATTTTCAGTACAAATCGACAATTTCATACTTTTACCCCTATTATAATTTACAATAAGAAAGAAAGGTATTTTTGAATACAAAGCAGTTAAACAAGAGAAACAAAATAGAAAATCTTTAATTTAAAAACAGATTTTCCGCAAGCTGAAAAGTTTTCCTGTAAGCCGTAATTTCGCCTATTACACAATACAGCGGTACAAAGAGAGAAGTTCTCACACACAAAAACTCTGCAAAATCGCCAAAGAAGTAGTCGGCCACGCTCTGTGAGGACGCGAAATATAATCTTAAGGTTAAGGCCTATAGCCATGGAAAAGTTCACTTTTTAAACGATCGTTTTCGTAAGTTACGACAAGAACGTTGTCCATTGCTGCTGAGGAGACATGATGCCAGGAATATACTCTTCAGCGACGCGAAAAATTTTACTGTCGAAGAAAAGTTCAACCGACAAAACAACAAAGTGTACGCTAAAACTAGCAAGGCTCGTTTTAGCTCGCGCATTCATTATCCGGTTAGTGTCATGGTATGGTGGGAAGTTTCGTATGAAGATGTCACTCCGCTTCATTTCTGCCAACAAGGTGTCAAGGTGAAAGCCAAGAACTATTAGAGTGACATTTTAGAGCCCGTGTTTGGTTGAAGGAGAATGTGTGTGACTTCATCGCGGCGGACGAGTGGACCTCCTCCAGCCCCGACCTCAACCCGCTGGATTATTCTTTATGGACTGAATTAGAGCTCAAGGCCTGCCGAAAGTCCCACCCAAACTTGAGTCATTGAAGCGAATCTTTGTTCGAGAAGCCAAGCGAATTCCGCTAGAAAAAGATTCGTGCCACAATTGATGACTGGCGAAATCGTCTAAGAGCGTGTATTAAAAACAAGGGGGGTCATTTTGAATAAAACATATATTTTATTGTTGATTATTATCTTTTTAACGGTTACTGAAAATTTTAGAAATATAATATAAGTTAATTATTAAAAAGTAACGCAACTTTCGTCTCAAAACTTATGAACACAAGAGGTATATAGCTAACATCATAAAAGACAACTTTGATCCACCTTGTTGTCGATAGTTACGCGATAGTTGAAATAGCACTTGTATTTATTTTAATTTAAACAAGCCATAAAAAAGTATATCGGAAGGATAAACATGTTTTCTTGCCTTAATCTTTTTCTTTTTAACAAAAAAAGTACTATAAAACTAAATTAAAAAGTTGAACGCCACCCGCCATATGCATGACGGCATTCCGATATGTACACATTCTTTTGAAAATGTTAGAAATGAAAGTAAAAAATGGCATTCTGACAATTACACTGCCATCTAACCATCTGGCTAGAACATAAAAAGATATAAATACTGGAAGAACCGCGCCATCTAGAAATCCGATTGATAATAAACGCGCAGCTGTTTAAATCTAATCTGACAAGAGTAGAAATATTTTACCAGAGCGACGTCATACTATGACGATTCGGGTTTCAAATCACATGATACACAGACAAAAAAATGTCTACTTTTAAATTTATGATAACAAGAATATCATTCAATTTATGACTCAAAATCAGAATATCCATGTTTACTTCAATGTAAAGTTTAGTTTTTTTTTTGCAATTTCGTGAAGTATTTTTTCACTACCGAAACTGTCCTACTGTATTACTTTAGTTAGTTTTATTCAATTTAAACTCACGTCACAGGAATGATTGATGAATCTCGCCGCGTTGCCTTTGAGCGTAGCATCCACCACTAAGTTGTCGTCGATACGGAACATGTAACATCCGCCAACGCCACGTCGCCCGCTCATTGCTTCGTACCGCTTCTCACGTTGGTCGGCAAGCACAGCGCGTATCACTTCACCCGCATATTCAATAACCATGTCGCCTAAATATTAAAAAAAAAAAATCATTCGTTAGCCTATTATTCATTAGTGGAATCTGTAATTTTTGTGACTGTCAAACTCTAATTATACAAACAAACTAATTATGGCGGCAGACTTAGGCGGTCGCTCTGCATGAAATATATGAACAAATTAACTTAAAAAAACTTAACAGAACAGAATTCTAAACTCCTGTGCTTGTTTCTTTCTTTTTAGTTTTATTTAAGTTAATATTTTCATGTATTTTTTAAAATTCGTTTCTACGCAGTCGGGTTTTTGTTTTTCTTTAAATTATTTATTTTTATTTTATAGTTACGATTCGTTGACTTCGTTATAAGATAGTAAATTTCGCAATCTAGTCATTTCATTGAGGGAGTTAATATCGTTTGTTAAACAACTTTAAATCGTTATATATCCTAAACTATTATTTAAAATTAAAAATGATAAAAGATTTTAAAATACCTATTCAACGATACCCCATTTGACATAAGGTCATCGATTTATTTTTCCATTTGACAATATGGCGTCTGGTTGTCGCTGTGGTGAATTTTGATTACTGTCATGTCTTTAGTGACACTCGCAAGGTTAAGACGAATCGATTGACGTAAGAATGATCAAAACCGGCCTACGCATTTGGTCTCTAGAACGCCACATACAAACAAACATACATACATAATAGACTGATAAACACATTACCCTCCTTTGCGTCGCGCAATCGGGTAAAAAGGCAGTTTACAAATACTGATGGTACTAATATCATGCCAGACAACGAGATAGATAGAGACAGAGGATAGCAAATTTTGCAACAAAATAAGTTTTATAAATCCTATATTTGCAAAAGATTGTGATAATTTTAAAAGTGCTGCAAAAGTCCTACGGCTATAAAGTGATTTACATTCTTTGCACATTTGGTAGAAGAAAACTTACATATTTATCAGTTTGATACACCAACGGAATTTTTAAATGAAATATTGAAATCAGATGTATATATCAAAGTTCCAGAAAGAATTAATGTTAAAGGAAATAAAATAATTAAACTAATAAGAAGTCTTTGTGGATTTAAGGAGAGTCCTAAATGCTGGAACATACAATTTAATAAAATTATGTTACAAGCTGGATTAAATTGATCATGTTATGATTTTTGTTTGTTATCGATAACATAGGGCTGTGTATATTGATGGCATATTGTTAAAGGGTGTTGGAACTACTGTACTATTCTATGGTGTAAGAGAATATATAATGTATTCTTTAATTATGGTAATTTTACTCTTTGGTTAAGAATGTTCTTCACTAAAATGTAATAATATTAATAAACGTTGTATTTGTTGTTGTTAGATCCCTGATGTTTTCTATAGAGATGATCTTTGTGTTTGTGACAATCGAAGTACCTATAAGCAACAACCCTACGTGTTTAGGCCATATCGCTCGCTCGGGTTCGAGAAGCTGCAAATGCCTAATCTTGCAGTGTCATTAATAAACAAGGTTTAGCGTTGGAGTAAATTTACGCTGAGACTGCACTTAGTATTAGTCATATTAATAAACAGAGACTTAGCAAAAGTTAACCTAGTACGAGGTTCTAGGGAAGTAAAATATTTACTCCTAGAAGGTATTATATTTCGTTATTCTCTGTATATTATGAATTTGGACTAAAACTAAAATTGCAATTTTAGCGTAATTTAATCTGACGCTAAACCTTGTTTATTAATAGCACTTGTCAGCAAAATTGTAATAGGTAACCATACCTTCTTCGATGTCTCGTTTGCAGAATAATCCACGTCCATGTATATGTGATCTATAGACACCAACTGAGACCTTGGACGTTTCTTTCAATTGCCTAAACCTCATTGCCGGTGGGAGTGTAGCTAATCGCCTGTAAATAGTAAGTATGTAAATGAAGATCATTGCTGACACATTAAGTTCCATGCTGTCATTATAAAAAAAAACTGTTCAGTACCTGGAAATGGAACTCTCTCCCTCTTGGCCTCCAAATGGCGGGGGTTCTTCCCGGAATGGTGACGCCATCCAGCTAAACATATCATGATTTTGTTTTCTCGCAATAGGTCCAGTACGAGCGCTACCCCATGGACTTTCCTTGAAGCCTTCACTCAAATCGAGATCATTGTCCCAACTGTTGAGCTGTCGACCTTGACGAATCTTATATTTGGTACAGCGACTAGCCTAAAATGATATTAATTTTAATAAAGAAAATATTTTAAAGTTAATGATTTCGATTTCATATATCTAATGAAAATAATTACCCCTGGTAGTTGTTCAATAAGGTATCGTAGCGCGTTATTATTGAGTCCAAGCAAATGTGCCCCAGATAGACTAGATGGTAAATTGTAATTGATTAATGGTAGACCATTTTGTTTTCTAGCATTTTGCACTGTTTCCACAACTTTAACCCAGAGATCAGTCAAAGACGATGATGAATAATTGAACCCATCCTCAGATGTAACTTCATAAATTAATTTTGGTCCGTCATCTTTAGAAGGGTCGGGTATTTGTTTTGGTGGCGTTGATTTATTTTCTTGACCTCTAGATATTTTACTTTGCTTCTTGGTCAAAATTGGTTCAGATTCTGTCTTTTTGTCGTTAAAAGGTCTCTTCATAACTTTACTTGGAATATTTGATATTCTGGCTGGCACTGAATTTCTATTTGTATCTTTTTCGGTCAACGGTTTTGGCGATAAATCAGCCATTTCCGCATCTAAGCTTGGTAAAGAGTTTACTTTAGTACTTGATTCTGCAGGAATGCCAATCTGTGTGTTGTCACTTTCATTGGTAACTGAACTAGTATTAGCTTGGTCCATTTCTGTTGACAACTGTATTGCTCTTGAAACAACTTGTTCTTCTTTCTTTCTTTTAGCTTGTTCCAATTCCATCATACGTTTCGATTCTTCTATAGCTTTTTCTAAGTCGCTGTCAATAGTTTCGTCTTTGACGTTTAAATCGGGCATATCATGACTTACTGGTCGTTGTTTTACCGCCGCCGGTATTTTATTTGAACTTTTCGCTTTTTGACCATCTCTATGTAAAGGCAATACTCTGTTCATTGGCCTCATAGACATAGGATTAACAACATTTGTTGGGATACCCGATTGTTGAGTAGGTGGAGCTTTTGGCAAAGTAATACTAGTACTATTTTGTATTGGTAAATTGATAGTATTATTTTGAACGGGTATGCAAATCATATTTCCTGAATTGTTGTTTTGGTTTTGTATCATATTAGTACTAGCTTGAATTGGAAAATTAATATCTGCCGCAGCTTTAGAAGCTATTTTAGGATCAACAAGATTGTTCTGGACAGTTATATTTACAGTGTTATTACTGGAATTAACGTTTATATTCATTGGAGCACTATTTGGTATTGCTTGGAATGGCACATTTATCATGGTGCTAGTGTTTTCGCTCTTTTGTTGGAAAGTCAAAGGCTCTGTAGATATTCCATTGACATTGCTATTGTTGTTATTCGTAACTACACGAATATTATGTTGTTGAGATCCATGTTGATTTATATTATTTTCTATATTAGAGTTGTTTTGTCGATTTCTTTCAGGAAGATTGATAATTCTGTTATTTTGTGTATTCATTTGCATATATCCTATTTGGTCACTGACAGAGATATGATTTTGTTTTTCATTGCCAACAATATTTACTTTAGCAGAATCATTATTTGGAATACTGGACAAAGAAATATTACTGCTTGGCAGTGGCCCCACTACATTCTTTCCTCTAATTGATTCCTGGGAAAATTTAGGTTCGTTTATAATGTTCCTATTGATTTGAGAATCTAAATTACTCATTTGAGTTTGAGATGAGTTATTTGTCGCCATATTACAACTACTAATATTAATTTGTGAGTTAGTAGGGACTTGTGTGTTAAGCATTTGACTTTGATTGTTATTAGTGTGCGTCTGCGAAGTATTCATCATCATGTGATTACTGTTATTTGGCATAATATTGTTAACACTATGATCAGATGCGTTGTTACAGCTCATTAGCATGTCATGACCAGTTATATTGTTTTGAGCAGCTGAACCATACATGGAATTGCTGTTTACAGTATTCATCAACATACTATTTGACATGTTTGAGCTATTCATGTTCATATTATGCATCATATTACTCGAACCCATGTTCATATTGTTACTTGCATTTAAATTAGTACACTGCATCTCAAATGAATTTTGATTATTAGAAAACTGAGAAGTGTTATTAGAACAGCTGCCACTGCATGAATTTTGTATTTCATTCTTTATGTCAGGTATATTTGGTACATGCATCAGAGAATTATTCATTGATTGATGATTTGTGCTATTCATTTGCATAGCGCTATTCATATTACTATGCATGTTCATATTGGTAATAGAGTTCATATTATTCATTTGATGTTGCATCATAGATGAATGTTCAATCGAATTCCTGCTGTTTTGAATTTGATTCATTGCATTCAAGTTTTGCATAGTCACTGTGGTAGATTCATGTCTGTTGCCATGCATATTTGTCATTGTATTGGTGTTATCCATCTGGCTGCCCAAATTCATATTATTTCCAGACATATGATGCATGTGTATATTATTTTCCATCTGTTGTCTGTTATGCATTTGGTTAGAAACATGCTGATGTATGCCTATCATATTGTTGTCCATATGCGATCTATTATTTTGCATCTGCATTACATTAGACATCTGATGCTGATGATGGTGACCTACGTTTTCTAGTTGTCTACTTTGCTGCATATTCATTTGCTGGTTTACATGCATATCTATTTGTTGCCGGTTATTACTATTCATATGATGATTGATCTGTTGTAAATTGTGGAGTTGAGTGTTGTGCATATTTTCTACAGTTCTATTAGTATGCATTTGATGACCCATATTATTCACGTTATGAGCAGACATGTTATCCATGATCATACGATTATTCTGCATATTATTTATATTAGGCATTGATTGTTGCATATGCATGTGATTTAAATCATTCAGATCATTTCTATTTATATTATGATTATTTCCAATACCGTGCATATTTATGGATTGATTCATTAGATTATTATTATCAGGGGTGCTTCTATTTGACATCAAATTACTTTGGTTATGGGATTGTTGCCCACTCATCATTTCATGGAAGGATCTATTTGCAGGGCCTTGAGTCAGTTGTTGATGTTGGTTATTATTTTCTACCTGTCGACTGTGTTGAATTTGACCACCCATGATATGAATAGGATTAGGGCCTTGATGTTGATTATCATGTTGTATAATTTGCATGTTTCCATGAGGTAAACTGGAGTTGCTCATAGACGAATTAGATAAATCATGTTGGTTGTTTTGTTGCAAACTATTTTCACTGGAAACTGTAATATTAGCTCGTGCATTTGAAGCTTCTTGACAAGACAAGTTTACATTTTGAATTGAATTATTGCTAGAGTTCATTAATTGCATTTGGTTGTGGGTGGAGTTGTTTGAAAGTGAACAGATTTGACTTTGATTGTTGTTTGAATGTTGTTGAATTGACATAGAGTTCTGGTTACTCTGTATTGGCTGCCGCATTACATTGTGTGGTATAATACTGATGGCGGGGTTGCTTAAGTTTCCAGCTACTTGACAACTGTTCAATTTATGTATGCTCATTTGACTCTGCATGTTGTCCACATTATGTTTATTCTCACTGGTGCCCATATTTTGGAATGCTTTATCATTTTGAGCATTCTGTTGTGTATGTGAAGCCATTATTTCTTGGGAAAAATTTAAATGTCCACCTTCAGTCTTTGAAAGGGCATTTATTTTACTTAATTTTAATGTAGTATCAACATCAAAATTACTATTCATAATTGATGAAGGTGGATAAATGTTTCCAGCTGTTATTTGGATAACATTGTTAGTAGTAGAATGTACTGAGGAATGATGGCTTACATTCGTACTTGTATCGAATTGATGAGAATGCAAATTTATATTATTGCTATTATTTGGCATTGTCATTAAACAGCTCTGATTAAGTTTTTCAACATCATTTTGTGAATGAGGACGTACAGGCCCCATGTTGTTTTGAATGCTCATCGAAGAACTATTTAAGTTACTAGTTTTCACTGTCATATTTTGTATTTCCAATTTATTTTCAATATTGCCTGTAGGGATTGGTGTGTTCTGCCTCCATGGTGTTGGCGATTTGATGCTTTGAGTTACACTAATAGTCGGCATATTGGAAGAGCTAGAGTTTTCATGTAAATTTCCACTTATTTCAATCACATGTGAATTTTCAATTTTAATATTATTTTTATTCAAAGATGATGCAATTGAACTGGATACAATCGGTTGAGATAATGGTATAGATTGCATGGAGAAAGGTGGCATTGAATTTGGAATTGACTGAGAAATGGCCATAACAGGCTGACCAGTTGATGAAACTAGGGTCACGTTTGGTGACATTGAAACGTTGTTCGGTTTCGAGATTGTAGTTCGTTGCAAATTCTGTGACGTGCTTGATATCGTCATATTATGTATTTGAGATGTCACTGGGTTTATTGTCTGACGTCCAGTCATAAGATTTCCAGGAGTAGGTTGTGAACAAACAGCTATAGGTGATTGGCTCATCTGTACAACTTTGGGGGTCTGTCTGTTATTATTAGATGATTTGTCAGGTAGAGGCTGCAACGTTAAGTTCGGTATAGAAGTTTTTGTGTTCTTTATTGTTGGTGGTGACGATTGTACAGACTGTGCAGGAACTACATTAGGTGTAGAAGAAGCTACTTGCGTTACGCTATCTCCAACATTGTTAACAACGACATAACCTGTGGGCACCTCCACTATTGGTTCTATCTTACTGGCTTGGAAGACTTGAGTAGTAGTTGCTGAAAAACTGCTGTTTTGTGCCAGTACACCTTGCATTGCAGTCGATACAAATTGTTGAGAAGACATCACTGTATTTTGTACTATTGTTTCTAAGCCATAGTAAACAGGCTGTGTAGTTGTTAAATACATACATCCAGATGGGTCAGTGACCATTTCCAAAGTAGGTGTAGAGCCAAGTAATACTTGGTCATTACAGAATTGAGGCAGCAATGTCCCTTGTGGTAATATAGTGGTGCCTGGAGCAGGCGATATTAGTGTATTTCCTTGTGATTGCAAAGCATTAGGGATTATAGTTGTTTGTCCATTGCCGATTCCACTCTGTGGTATTACAGTCGCTCCGGCATTTTGTAGTGTATTATTGGGCAAAAGGGTCGCAGTTTGAGATGTTATATTTCCCGGCCCTAGCCCTTGTATGGTTCCTTGGGGTATAATAGTAGCGCCGTTTTGGGTGTGTATCGCTTGCGGCAATATAGTAGGTCCATTAGGACCTTGTGAAATTATTCCTTGTTGTATTGTGCCTTGTGGTAAAATCGTAGCCCCTTGTTGAATAGTCTGGGGTAGAATCCCGACATTGCCTTGCGGTAGCAATACTGGTATACCTCCACTCGGTACAGCCACTAATCCTCCAGTTTCAGTTTGCTGAATTTGAAATGTTTGAGGCATAAGACCACTTTGTGATATGAATTGAGTGGGGCCTTTAAAATCGCCTTGAGGTGCGATTGTTGCTATGTACTGCATATTTTGATTCTGCTGTTGAGACAGTGCTTCAACATAAGCAGACATAATATTCTGATTTGCTACCGGTTGTACAATTATAGACGGTTGACCCGTTTGATTGTTGGTTTGCAGTTGTATAACAGTATTTCCAGGACCTAATGGTTGGTTAATTGTTGTAAATGTTTTTTCTAATTTCGTTTGTCTTTTTATCGCCGGTTTCGGAATGGGACGAGTGCGACCCCTATTTGCTGGTTGGAATATTGGTTTAGGCTGAACAGGAGCCGGTTGTTTTTTCGGTGATTTTTGTGGTGTACTTGGCATCAATATTTGTGGTTTGTTTTGGGTATTAGGTGATGTCAGTCGCTGCGTTGTCATTGCAGGTACGACGATTGTAGGATTCCCTTGGATTTGTGGTCGTATCATCGGTTGAATATTTTGTATAATTGAAGTATTCGGCATAGAGTTTACGGGTAAAGCAATCGATGACGCACTAGCCATATTGGGAAAATTTGTCACTTGGTTTTTACCTTGTATCATTGACATGTTGCCTTGATTCGACGGGATTGCCAAAACCTGATTAGAATTTGAAGATATGACTTGTATACCTCCCGGTCCTGAAAGCAACTGAGCCATTTCTGCATTTCCTTGAATCTGCTGTATATTATTACCGCCGTTTCCAGGCTTCACACAAATGTTATATGGGAGTAATCCAGGTTGTGTTATAATTTGTGGTGTTATTATTTTCTGTCCTCCAGCAGAACTACTTTTGGGTGGTAGTATCATTTGCGGAGTAACTACTATTTGTGGTGAAGATAGCATTTGTTGACTCGCCGAGACTTGAACATTAGTAGTTTTAGCTTGATCAAAGATTACAGTGCCTGATTTCATTTGTTCTGTGATAGTCATTGTCATTTCGTTTGTTGGACCAGGAGATGGCGTCTCTACTATCGTTCCATTTATTGTGATCTGTCTCGTATTGATTGAGGTTCTTCGGGCGGATATACTTTCGGCCTTAACTGTGTTTTCACTTCCACTAACAACCCCAGCATGTATAATCATAGGCTGTGCAAATGCTCCTTGGAAAGCATTTTGTAATGTTGTCAAGGTCCTGTTCTCTGGAGATTTTGGGTTTTCACTCTCACTTTCACTGGTAGACATCATGTCACATGTTGGAATATGCCTGTCGTATGATTCTTTATTTCTGTAAGTACATTGGCATCTATCACATCTGACAGGTTGTTCTATTTGGCCAGGTATATTTGAACCTTCTAAAGGTCTCATCACTAACTCTGGCTGACCATTTATCGAATTACCAGCAATAGTCACTGTATATGTACTCTCTGATCCACTAGCTCTATATAAAAATTGGTTGGGTTGACCCCGAGAGCTATTATCGATACCAGAATAGTTTTCATCAGCACCATCAAGTTGAGATATTGGAGTGAAATCTTCATTTTCTCTAGGACTGTTTGGTCTAGAACTACATGTACTTTCTGAACCTGACCAATCTGCCGCCCCGTCTAATTGGGATATCGGGCTGCATTGTATTTTAGTGTAAAAATCAATAACATCAGTGTAATATCCTTCAGTTTTGTTTGTCTTTTCAGTTACAGTCTCTTCTTTTTCTTTAGGTGATGTGGTACGGTAGTTTAATCCTGATGTATGAGGTGCCTCTTCACATAAAGTATTACTAGTAACAGTCTCAGGTTTTAGCTTCTTTTCAATACTACCTGGTTCTGGCTCTTTTATTGCATCCAGTGAGTTCTCTATCAAGCTGGGCCGTTGAACTGGGCTAAGTTTACCTGTTATAGTTGATGACTTTCCTATTTTACATCGTTTTATAGTAGAAGATATTAAACTTGTATCAAACTTGTTATTCCAAGTAAGACTACTAGACCTTTGTTGTCCTCGACCTGTAGTCAATGTTTTGAGGCTATGGTTTTGTAAGAGCATTTCAGATTTATTTCTCTTCAACTCTTTGTTGCCAGACTCTAATCTCGCATTTAGTAGTTCGTCAATGAAATCAGATTTGTCATTACTTCTGTCATCAGTTTGACTCATAGCACAATAGAACTCATTTTTCAAATCTTGAAATATATCTTGCATAGATATGCCATCTAGTAAGTCATGGTTTAAATCTTCAAATATTGCATCTTTCACTTCTGGTGGGAAAAGGTCTGCTGTATTCTGGGGCTCTTCATCATCTTGCTGTTCTTGTCTACAAACATTTTCGAGAAGATATTCAACAACTTGTTTTACAGCAAGGTCTTCTAATGTCATATTGTTTCCAAACTTTATAGGTGATTTGTCACTTTTAAGCATCATAACAGTTTTGGTTGAGGCTGTTTCTATACTTTCATGCCAAGCTCCAATTTCAGCCATAACTCTGTCTACAATTTGTATATCCTTCGAATGGTCCACTGTAATATTCACACCAAAATCAAATCCAGGCAATGGCTCAGCTAATATTAACTTTGTTTTAATAGTGTATCTTACTATTTTTGAAGGCTTTTTGCAAGACCAGAAAAGTCGTGTACATGAAAAATCAACAGGCATCAAAAATTCTTCATAATCAGACACTGATGGCACTATCTTTCCAAGACTATTCACAATCAAGGATCCAAGAATAAACTGCACTTTACTTATTTCACTGTATCTCTTCTTTTTCTTATCTAATTCAACATAGACAGGTCTGGTGAGTTCAAAATCAGTGTCTTTTTGCAAATTTTTAGTTGGTACATCTTTTCCATGTGTAGGACAGAAGACCCTCTTATCATCCAAGAACGCACATTTTTCTTTTCGAGCACAAGCATAATGATAAGTTTCACTACAATTTTTCGCACAACACCCCACACTTGCTCCTTTCATTTCACAAGCTGCACATTTGATCATTTTTCCTCTGGATATAGCAGAATGTACATTTTGCAAAGAACCATCAATTTCTTCAAACACTTCAGCTGACCATAAAGCGCAGTTTGCGTGAATCCAATCATTTTGACCACAGTACAAAAGTCGACCCTCCATAACGGGAGAACCATCTCCAACACCTTTACATAGAATGCAAATTCTTGAATCCAAAATAGGATAAAGCTCTAACAGTTCTTCCTCTAACTTTTGCCCATCAGGTTCTAATTTTGGTACTATTTGATCTAGTGGTCTCTCAATTGATAATACAGTATCTTTCACACTCTTGCTGTCAGACATATCATGGTCTCTCAAAGATTCTGATTCGTCTTGTTCTCCATCAACTTCCAAATTAGGCTGAAGACAATTACTTTCACAGTCAAACCATGGAAATGTCTCTGAGAACAAATCTTTGTATATCATTTTTAAATCCCCACTTGATGTTCTATCAATTACTGATTTCATATCATGGTTGAAATCTTTTAGTGAAACATATTCATCACTATTTACTCTTTTCTTTATGTCCAGTAGTGAAGGGGATACTATTCTACTCACATCAGATATATCACCAACACCAGAAGTTGATTGTCTAGCAATGCCTGGACTCAGGTCCTGTTCACTGCGAGCTTGATGAAATTTCATTGGTTCATCGTCGTCTGAGATAGCCTCATATTTGTCATCATGAACTGTGGTTGGCAACATGGTAGTTGCTTTTTCCAGTTTATTCTGTGGTGGATTATTTTCATGTACTTCAATACAAGGTGCATCAAATTCTGCTTTAGTATCATAAAGACCAGTAGAAAAGCATATCTCTTTATTTTGCATTAGAGGTTCTTGTAGGTTTACAACTTTGTGAGATGGATGTGGTATTTCTTCTTTATTCATTTCAAAACCAGTGAGCAACGATGAACATTGCCAAATGGTCTGTAATGAATTGGGATCATCAAATTTCGTCTGACCAAAGTTATTACGTCGCCCTCTCGCTGTATTTCTATACACTTTAGTTTCCGTCGTATTTTTCATAGCATCTTCGGCGCTGTCGAAATGCAACTTTCTTATTGCTTGCGGAGATGTTATCCTAAATAGTTTGTTAGGTACGGGAGTATTTTTGTGTGGCGTTAGTTTTAATAATGCACACGCCTTCTTGTTCTTCGCAAGTAGCTTCAGTAGATGTAGCAATCGTCCTTTTAGATGCTCTGTAAGCATTTTCCTCCATGGCGGATCGAGAGGCATGCACTTGCAGCAGATGTATTCAATAGAGGGGGGAAGAGCCGATAGTAGTTGATAACCTTCTCCAGACAAACCCTCACAACTGGCATGCACCCATCGTCCACACCAACCACACTCCATCATCTAGAATTGAAAAAAGTAATTATTTAAAGATGAGTGCTTTAACTACTTCATTTGCGCAATGCATGGGATATTCTCTAACACTAAAGGTGAAATACTATGTTAACAAATTTTAAAAGTCTCATGTGCTTGGAACCTATTATGAAATTAATTATGCTACAGTATAGGTACATTGAAATTGATCCGGCTTTTTGTAACACCAATACTCCATTCATTATAACATTAGAAACAAGAGGATCACAGAAGCAGTAGTGCAGAACATTTTATTTCAAGATAAATTTAAAAAATATATATATTCGTTTTTTTAATATAAGTTAGGTAGTCTTAAAACCTGAGCAATTTTCCATTTTTTTAAATTGAATATTTGCATTTTTTCGTTATTTTAAATTACCTTGCTATCAAAATCATTATCTCTGTAGCATGCTTGACAGAGCGGGCAATAGTTTCCCTTCTGACGCAGTTTGAAGCAAGGCCCGCAGAAAGGGAGACTGCCCACAAATTTACTGACTCTACTACTGTCACAGCTTTTACACTTCAAGCATGCACTGCATATCTGGAAAAGAAAATAAAAACATTCTGACACTTTGAAAATCAAATAAATATGTGAGGTAAATGCACTGGTAAGTATTACCATTTATAAACAGTCTAATGTACCAATTTAATGAATAAAATGGAGAGGATGGCACCACCTGTTACATGGTAAAATCGTCTGTGCACATTTATTTTTGTTATAAATTTAAGAGTGGGCAAAATACTACAATATTGCCATTAATTAAAGAAAAGATTATGATTCAAGCGTTAAAGTGTTCACAACTACATTGCTCAAGACATTAATAAGAAAACTTGCTCGAAAAATTGTGACCTGTTTGTAAATACAAATGAAACATAACGTACATTCCAACAATATACAAGCAAATTATGTAGAAGAAAAATATAATTAAAATGTGAATCAGGAAAATTATGTGATTTAAAGGTGAACAAAGGAAAGAAAATAATTATCATACTGTAATAGATTGAAAACAGCTGTTAGCAGAGGAGGTACATGAGTAAGTAGTACCTCCCCTGTCCGTGCAATCGAGCGACGTACTCGGACATAGCAGACAAAGAAGAACAACTTTATAAATCAGTCGCAAGATGGCGTCACAAGTAGTCATATGTCAATGTAAAAAATCTGATATTTTAGATCGCTTAAATCGAAATGAATCTTTCAGTAGTTTGGCAAGTGAGTGTGGCGTAGGCCGATCTACAAATTATGACATTAAAAAAAATATATGAATATTTTCATGCTTCATAAATTGATTGATTCAATTTATATTTATAATTTCAAATTATTTTAGTACCTACGTAAGTTAGTTATTATTTTTTGTAAATTCTAGCATTAATGACATCACTTTTACATTATATTAATACATAACTTCTATATTATGTTGTTTAATTTACCTACTAGATTCGACATACATAATGAAGTATGATTTGTACTTCAGAGTACTTATAACATATAGATTCTTATCACTGATCTGTAATTTGTCAAATTACAAGGTACTCCTTTGTAAAAAAATCCAAACTATAAGGGTCTTAGACAGTACTCTATAATCCGACAAATTCGATGGTCCGACACTGCCCTGCAAAACGTTTGTCGGATCACCGGGGATCCACTGTACTTATTTTAGCGATTTAGACATGGTACATGTGCACACACGAAATCTCAACCTCGCTAGGTCTCTGTCATCGTTTTAATTTGCCTCGTTATTCGAAAGAAAACATATTTTCGTAGAATAAAAAAGGAAATTTAAAACATTGTTTTATTTTTTTCTATACCGACTGAAAATGAATTTTCCATCTGAAATTGATATTTTATTATTTTGAATGATTGCGAGGTATTTTGGAAGATATGGATTTTATTTTATTTTGTTTGAATAATAATAATATATGCTTTATTTGAGCTGACAAATAAAATTATGATTAACATAGACAAATTGGAAGTAAAAATCCTATTTTATGATATGAGTAAAGTATTCGATTATGTATCATTAGATCTACTTGCAAATGTGAAAAATATGGGTATGGAGGAAAAGCATATAACTAGCTACAAAAATATCTCAAAGGAAGATTACAATATGCAGATCTTGCAAAGGATGATTCTTTTAATGAAACCAATTACAAATCTAGTGGACTAGACTATAAAGGAATCTGGCATGCCTCAAGGTAGTATCCTAGGCCCGTTTCTATTTCTCCTTTACATAAATGACCTACCTTCATACTACCCCAAATTCATACAAATCTACGTTGAATACAACAATGAAATCAATAAAACATTGGAAGAAGTAATTAACTGGCTAAAAGATAATAATGGTAAAAAGCTAACATCCAGTTGCGCAAACGTCCATTAAAATTTTCATTAGTTTAAAGTTACATTACCCTAACTAATTTGTAACTGTATGTGGAAGCCACACATACAAGAGTTGTGCAACAAAATCAGCATATTTACATACACACTATGGCGACTTGTAAACATTACAGACAAGAGAACTACTCTTTTGGCATACCATGGATGGCTTCTATTCTAAGATAAGGAGTCATAATGTGGGGTAATACAGTATATGTATATTGATAGGGCATTCACTGCTCATAAGCAATGTGTATGCTCTACATGTAAGTTATCTTTAGAAACAAGTTGTAAACCATATTTTCAGACTTTAAGAGTGTTAACATTGCCATGTATTACACATTACATTACATCTATGAAGTGAATTGTTTTGTAAGAGTTAAAAATAAACTTTTTAAACGAGACTTTGATGTGAATAATGACTAAATTATATGATATCCTGAAAGACTTGTGTTACCCAATATGCTTATAACAATGCAAAGCAGAGGTTTTTATCCGATGGTTATTTGAATTTATAATTAATTACCGAATTATGTGAGACGCTTCACTCAACCTATTTGAGAAGAAACTGAATAAATTCTTTGTGCATGAAAGTTGTTACTCAATCCGTGAATATTTGGCTGACATGATATGGTCGAAGCGGGCAGGTAACTCACTTGTGGCCAGTCGCTGCAGTGGTTGGGTCGAGGCAGGCAGATCACTCACCTGTGGCCAATCACTGCGGTGGTCGGGGGGCGGGGCGGGCAGACAAGCGGCGTGGTAGTGCGCGGCGCAGACTCGGCAGCGGCGCCTAGCGGCGGATCTCCCGCATGCGGCACAGGACGCGCACCTGGCGCACGTCCATCCGCGCGCGCCTACCGCATCTTCTGCGCACCAACTGTGATACCATTCGCAGCAGCTCGTGCATACCACCATCTAAGAATATAAATAACACATTTTTTATTGTATGATTTCTTAAAAATAATACATCATCATCATCATCATCATTTCAGCCGAGAGACGCCCACTGCTGGGCATAGGCCTCCCCCAAAGATCTCCAAAACGATCGGTCCTGCGCTTCCCGCATCCAGCGGCTTCCCGCGACCTTCACCAGATCGTCGGTCCACCTTGTGGGGGGCCTGCCAACACTGCGTCTCCCGGTACGCGGTCGCCACTCCAGGACCTTACCGCCCCAACGGCCGTCAGTCCTGCGAGCGATGTGCCCTGCCCACTGCCACTTGAGGTTTGCAATTCTGTGGGCTATGTCGGTGACTTTAGTTCTTCTGCGGATCTCATCATTTCTAATTCGATCTCGCAAAGAAACCCCGAGCATAGCCCTTTCCATTGCCCTCTGAGCGACCTTGAGCTTCCTTATGAGGCCCATCGTAAGCGGCCACGTCTCAGCACCGTAAGTCATCACTGGCAACACGCACGAATTAAAGACTTTTGTCTTGAGACACTGCGGTAGATGTTCCGAGAATACACTGCGTAGCTTTTGTAGGCTATTTCTTAGCTTTATTCTTATGTAACATAATTGACGTTAGGCACAATGTAGTGATACGGTGCTTGCTGTGTGATATGTGATCGCATGACTATGCAAGCCAATACTTATTACAAATAATAATCATAATTATTTCCTAAACTTAAAAAATATTGAAATATTAATTTTCATTGGTAGGTAGGCAGGTGGTATATTGTGGTATCGCGCTGAAGGTACATACATTTGTAGTTGCAGGCTAAGCCGTAATTTTGACGTCATGGTGGAATTGTAAATGTTCACACTGTTACCCAGCATTTAGTGTCTTGTCTATACATAAAAGTAAAATCCCACTTCTGTGTTCGTTTTATGATTATAAATTCATTTTCTAATTGGGGTGTATAAGGATGTGTGTTATTTCTGTTACACATTGTATATATTGTGAAACATCCCAATATTTGGAAGCATCAAACATGAAAGTCAAATGAGAACTTACGTTTTCTCTTCCAGCACTGCCACACAGAAAACAAAGCCTCGCAACCGTAAATGGTGCTGTTCCAATAAGGCCGAAACCTGAACTGCAAACTTCATCAGGGTCATAGCTTTCCCAAAAATCAACACAGATCAAATCTGGATGATTTTGCCCACACTTCTGTGTTCGACCACGGGTCTAAAAAAAAAGAGATTAATTAGAAAAATTATGATAATAATTAGCATAGTATTATTAATACAGATAAAATTTTAAACACACATTTGTAATATTGGCAAGAGGTTTCAATGTTGTTTTTCTTGGCACAAGATCCATCACTGTTTCATCTTCACTGGACTCTGCTTTTGTCTGTGACTTCACTGGTAAAATTGTTTCCAACTTTCTCTTCTTTACTTCTACTTGTATTTCAACATCACTCTCCTTCACTATAGCAGTTTCTGGTATTATTTGAGGGTCTAAGAGTGGAGCTTTGTTCTCAGTTTCAACTTCAGATTCACAACTTGAAATGTCAAGAATATCTTTTTCATTAACTGACATTGGTTGAGGTTCAGAAACAGGGTCTTCAGTAACCAATGGCACCTTGCTTTGCTTATCTTTTTCTTCTTGAGTAGGAAATGTAGCTATCGGTTGTCCTAAGACTATAGATGCACTTCGACAAACATGTTTAACTCTTGGACCCTTAAGTTCAACTTTTTGTCGTTTGGGATCTTCAGTTAATTTGGATTCTGTTTTTTCTTTCTTTCTCACTTTAACTCTTGTTATGTGTCGTTTTCTATTAGAACTGAAGTCATCAACTGTTTCTTCTTCTTCAGCTTGATCTTTAGTTACTTTTGCCTACAAAATACAGAAAATTAATTAATAAAAGCTTAGCTGTGTCCTGATTTTAAAAGTTACTTAATATTATTAAATATATAGGAATTCATGTTATATGCATATTAGATAAGTTCAAAATACAAGAACTTTATCTTACCTCTACTTTTTCATTTTCATCAATCATTTTTTTAGCTGTCTTCATGGTACCAAAGAGTTTGTTTTCACTGTCAGGTAGAGTAAAAACGGGAGGTTTCTCTGGTACTGTATTGTTTGGACATATTCTTAGAGGATTAGCTTGTGTCAAAGGTCCTGATGGAATAACACCACCTCTCATATACGGTGGCAACAATGCTGTAAGGCCAGTTCTTATACTTGGTGGCACCTGGAATGCCTTCAAACATAGTTTCAGCCAACATGCTGGGCAACGAGCTCTATTAGTACACCGTAATAACTTCCACTGTTGTGACCTTACTATTGGTGGAACGTGACAATTACCTGAAATGTAAAATTTATAACATGTATTTATGATTATTAATTACTTGACATAATAAAGTTAATCATTGTTTATAAACTAACCTTCTCCTTTTAGACACTGCATAACAATAGGACCTGTACGATGGGATAGCTTCTCTTTTTTCAGCATCTTTGATATGAATTTGCGGCAAGACTCACAAGAGTAAATTCCAAATTTTCGTGCTTGCTTCACAAATCTATAGAATCTCACTGCTCCACACACACCACATGTTACTGTCGTAGGAGGATTATTTGCTGAAAAAATATTTAATTATTTTGATGTTTATTGTGGTTTTCAAACATCTAATAGCAAAATTTGATATCACTTAAAATTTAAGAAAATTTAAATATATCATCGTCTGATGATATG